AGAACAGTCATTGCCTTGGCACCTTCCTCTGATTTATCATAGCTCAGGAAAAATAGTAAAGGAGAGGATTGTGACATACAGGTCTCTGAAGCACAGACCTGCCTTCTCTCACACTCCCTGCTTAGAGTTTTTCGAGTGTGATAGTTGCTGAACAACTCATACATGCACTCAAGCCCAGATTTAACCCTTCATTCCTTAAACACTTTGGGAACCTTTGATACGAACAATCCAAAGAGCCCAAGACAATTTTATCCACACCACAGTGGCCAGTGAAAATCCACGTGCCCCAGAACTAGAGTTTACAGGTGTGCAGTTCTGATACATTTTCTTTGGACCATGAAGTCAATTATGCTCTGATCTCTCATGTTTTTGTGGCTCAGCAGTCTGGCCAGCATGTTTGCCTTTTACAACGTCCCAGGGAACGTGTTCAGGAAACAGCTTCATTTTGGAAAGGTCAAACTAGGCAAGAATAAAAATTCACACACCCCCGCCCATGTACAAAGTGCCCAGTATGTAAGGTATGTCCAACTGCATGTCACCTTGGTAGCACCTGTAATCTCAGATGAATTTGTTAATCCCATGAGTAGAAGTGAGATTCATTTCTTACAGGCTTATGTCCTGTACCCACCAACACTCTTGCCCTTCCAGTCATCTGAGTTTCCATGTGTCATGATTTAGCCCAGCCAGCAGCTAAAGCACCAGGAGGTTGCTCACTCACTCCTCCCCCTCAGTGAAGTGGAGAGGAGAGAAAATGTAACAAAAGGCCTGAAGGTCGAGCTAAAAAGCAGGAGGGATCACTCACCAACTATGGCCCTGGGCAAAAGACTCAGTTTGGGGACAAATGAATTTAATTTGTTGACAGTTACTGCAGAAGATAACAAGAAACAAAGCCAGATCTTAAAAACACCTTGCCCCTACCCCTTCTTTCTTCCCGACTCTACCTCACGCCCCAGCAGTACAGGGGGACAGGAACTGGGGGTGTTGCAGGTCAGTTCATCACATGTTGTTTCTGCCACTCCTTCCTTCTCAGGAAGGGCACTCTTTTCCGCTGCTCCAGTGGATCCTCTCCTCATGGGACACAGTCCACAGACTTCTTCAACGTGAGTCCTTCCAGCAGGATGCAATCCTTAACCACCAGATTGCTCCAGTTTGGGCTTTTCCCACAGAGTCACATCTTCTTAGAGCGCAGCCACTCACTTCAGTGTGGGGTTCTCTGTAGATTTCAAATGCATCTCTACCTCATCGTCAGTCTCCAGCAGCCTGAGGTCCTTCCCACCGAGTCAATCTATGACCTACTTTAGGCACAGGCATCTCTGATTCAGCATGGGGTTCTCCGTGGGCTGTAGGTGGATCTCTGCTCCATCGTTAATCTCCATGGGCTGCAGGGGGACTGCTGCCATCTCACCACAGGCTGCAGGGGCATGTCAGCTCCAGCACATCTCCTCCCGCTCCATCTTCACTGACCTTCATATCTGCATAGCCATTTCTCTCAGATTTTGCTCCTTTCTCCACTGCAGCCGTGCTGGGCTCAACCAGCCTGGCAAACTTGGGCAGTCCTGGCAGGTTGAACTCTGCCCAGCGGGTGCCCTGAGAGCAGGGCGCTTCGGAGCTCTCCAAGCCACACTGCTGCAGCTGTCTCCAGTCAAGTGGCAGCAGCCCAGCGTGGGCAACTGCCCACCTGGGAGGCTGAGAAGGGGCCAGCCTACTGCCTTCCCCTTCTCTTCACTGCAGGTCCAGCCTTGTTCAGGTTGCTTTGTCCTTGTCTTAAATCGGGCATTTGCAGAGGCGCTGATTGGCTCTGCCCTGGCCAGAGCGGAGGAGTGGACCAACCTGGCCAGAGGCCAGTCTGACTGGTTTTAGAGCCCAGGAAGCTTCTCACAGCTTTTTAGAGGGCCCATCTCTGCAGCCCCTCCCATGCTACCAAAACCCCATCACATAAACCCAGCACACCATGGTCTTCCTCACATACCCAGTCCTCACATACCTCTGCCTCCCAAGATCAGGGCCTCCCTAAAACTCCCCACCATACCCACAGAGCTTTCTGCTGATGTAACCTCCCTCACCCACCCTGTCGCCAGCAGCTGGCAGGAAATCGGATGTGCTGTGGGGAGGGCAGGTCCACCGAGGAGACCAAGGTCTGGCTGGGGCTTGCCAGGGGCTGGGATGGTCACGTTCTGCCAAGCCCACCCTTGGAGGCAGCTCTACCAACCGCCAATACTTGTGAACTCACAAGAAGAACTTCTCTGAGCTTCTGGTCCCCAGCAGCTGACCGGGTTCGATGCTGCCGAGAAGACACGGGGCTG